ATGGATGGATGGATGGATGGATGGATGGATAGTTTTCCTATTTGAAATTGTATATATGCAGAGGTGCCCAACAATCGCTGTTGATGTTGGTACCATCTGTTATTATTTGTTTTTTTTAATATAGATAAAGAAAATGTAATACCGTGTCTACATGAGGGGAAAAGACACTACTAAAGCACCAGTAAAAATAGAGAAACAAATGAAACACCACTGCAAAAAGTGAAGTTCAAACCTTTGGAAAACCTCACACTGGCTTCTCCTTCCACTCCACACATATATACTAGTGCATACCTGTATAAATGTGTTTGCATATAGTAATAAAAATATTCTATCACTCTTAACTCCACTAAGAATATTTAAATGTACGGAAATATTTGTTTTCATAAAAAAAGGTGAAAAATAGTTAAATATTCAGCAAGTTAAGGTTGATTAAAATTGATTCTGTGCCTGCTCCACACATTACACTGAGCTGAGCTGTCGACCGAAGATGGCGCCACCGGATCACGTCAGCGCCCCTGGGCGAAAGCAGTCAGTGCGGGGTCTACTCTTATATTATGTCTCTGCTGGTGTCTATGGGTGCCCCAACACTTTTCTATTTTTTCAGATGTTGGTTTTTATCAGTTAAAGCTTTATCTTTTGCATTACTGCCACCTGCAGGTGATATTAGGGGAGTGGCGACCTAGTGGTTAGGGGCATTGCGCTTGGGTCCTAGAGGTTCTGAATTCAAGCCCCACTCCCGCAGACTGCCACTTGATTTAAGTGTATAAAAGTAATGTAAAAAATATAGACAGAAAATTAATACTGAAATAAGCTGAAGTTGGAAGCAAAAACTTTGGTAAAGTGTAAGAAATAAGCAGAAAGAAAAGCTTAAACTGTCAGTTGTCAACTTTGGTTACACTATATGATATAAGTTAAGTTATTGATATTAGTTCCTTTTAATTGTAATTAATTTTACTTTAATTATTTTATATTAAAAATTAAGAATAAAATGGCAACTTTCTCTTGGGCTTATTTTTCTTGAGGATGTATGGATCTGTTAAACTCTAATATAAACATCAATAAAAATATTCTTAACATGTCCAAATATAAACAAGCATGTACCCTGTATCTTTTACAATACGATGCTAATCGTATAATGAAAAAAACCTCTGAGAGCCACTACTAATAAAGTGCTTTAAGTAAGTTCTTACTGAGCAGCTTCAGGCCCAAATATCTGCAAAGGTATTCTTATTTATATTTACTGAAAATCAATGATGATTGCAAAGGATTGGTATATAATTTTAGCCTATTGGTGATGGCATTACCTTCACGAATAAATATTAGACTAGACATGTAGTTTGTTCTGTAAAATGAGACCTTGTGTACAATACCCCAAGATGTCAAAATTATGTTGTTGAGCACACCGGGAAAAAGAACGGGAAAGGACTTAATGAGATATTGATGTGCTTCTAAGAACAAACAGATACTACAGGCTGACAAAGCTCTGCATGTATTTGGAACAAGTCAATCACACAGGATACCTGCTGTTCCTCGACTCAATATGCATGCGTGTTTCTTCAAATGTTTTTTTAATTGTGAGAAAGACAAGATGATTCTTTGATGGTCTTGATGCCTCATACGGAATTGTTCAATATTACTCTACTGCATAAGTTTGAAATAGGATGCAGAATGTTTTTTTTTTGTTTTTTTTTTTTTTGTAATGGCAACTTGTCTTTAAGGTTCTGCACTCAGTGACGGCCAATGGCATTCAGTGGAGCTGAACTCCAAACAAAGCCGTCTGACTGTCTCTGTGGATAAAGATGAAGGAGGCAGTGCTCAAGCTAGCCTTTCATTTCCTCTCACAGTAGAAAGTCACCTCTTCTTTGGTGGTAAGAGCAGAATCACAAGCTAACCAGCAGTTTAAACTTACAAAGAATTACATAAAAAAGTAAAACCTGTCTTCTCCTCAGGATGTCCTTCTGGAGACATTCATGGATGCAGAAACCCCGTTACAGCATTCCAGGGCTGCATGCGTTTATTCAGTCTGGACAACAGAATTATGGACCTGATCGCAGTGCAACAGAAGCACCTGGGAAATTACAGCAACCTGCAGATTGACATGTGTGGAATCATTGACAGGTCTGTCAATAAGAAACACATATTTGCTGTTTTAATCCTTATTTTTTCATCAACATGCAGCCAATTCTAGAAATTCAGAAGAACTGGCTATAATTTCAGCACAGTTATTCGCCTTTTCTCAGCCACATGCGGCTGTTCTTTGCATTCCATGTGGTTTAGTGACTTTATTGGTCAGTAGAGGTTCTCTTTTTAACATCTATTAGCAAAGTATCTTACGTAGGAAAACTTTTATTTTGAAAATATCACTTTCCACCTCCGTTTGACACGCGTCAACTTCAGTCATCTCTAAAGTTATTCCAACCGAACCATTGACTCCAGTTCCAGGAGAGGAATTTAACTGTTTAATCTCCTTTGCTGTACATACCATATAATCATACCAAAAAATAAACATAGTAAAACTGAAACACATCCATAGAAGTATGTTAGAGTTATTGAATGACAATTATAAAATTAATGTGTGGGCATATGAAACATTCTGGTTCTGGTTCTTTCCTGTGATTCAATCAGGAGGTTTATTTAGAGTTATAATTATAAAATTATGCTACATTTCTGTCCTGTGATTCAATCAGGAGGGTCATAAACTTTTATGACCTGCATCTAGTAGGTCATGAGGCAGAGTCACACGGTTGTGTGACTTCCATCCAGCCAGATGGTCATTTCACACTGTCTTATGACCTGCATCCTGCCAGATAATCATTACTGAGTTTTCTGTTTAAGACCCGCCCTATTATGTTGTAAACTGTTAATAAAAGGCTTTGCTGTGAAGGGATCTGGGAGAAAAGGTGCTGGTTTTGAGCCAGCAGTCTTTCTCCCCTGTGCAGAGGTTGACGTTTCAAATCCCTGTCTGTGTTTGATCATTTCGTCCTCTTAATCTTTTAAACTCACATTTCTCTGGATTTAAACCCAACAAAGTAAATGTTAATAAACTACTACAAACACAGTTAAAAGTATAAGCAGTGGAATCAGAAAGCAAACAAAATTCAGAAATGCCAAGAAAACTGCTTTTTTTTTGCATTTTTCAGGCTGATTCTCCAGTCGTGCAAAAAATTTTTTGATCGGACCGAGTTTCAGCCTCATCGTGCGTTGTGTAGTATTCAGGGGTAATGAGGGGCGATCAGCCTCTCGTGACCACCTCCCAATCCAGAGTCGTAAGTTGGGAGAAAATCAAACATGTTTTAAAATCATTCGGCTCTCATAATGTGTTGGTGAGCAAATCCTGCTGTTGAAGCAGAGCTGCGGGCTGATTTACCAGAAGCTCGTGCATTGTGTATGTGCAAACAAGGAAGTTCTTCTTCCAGACTGGCGAGTCCCA